GACTCCCAGATCTCTTTCCCCTTCACTGCTCAATATCTCATCTAAAGCTAAAGAGAGACACCCAGACCACCCTCACCCCCTCCTCAGAGAAACATTTACCAAATACTCCCAACTTCTCCTCATTTCAGCTTCTCGAAAGCCCAGGAGTTTGTCTCTCTCTTCCTTCAAGGTTTGCAGATGAACCTGGATTTGTCCCTGAGGGAAGAAAAAATAAATCAAAGACCTCATGTTTCTGGAGATTGAACCAAAAAAACCCCTCCAAACCAACAACTTTGAGGAGATGATTGCACTGTGGTCAGCTCCAGAGCTTCTCCTTGTGTTCTTCTTGGTCCAGAAGGATCCTGAGCTTCAGACTTGGGAATGTTTTAAATGGAAATAAATGTCACATAATGGAAAAAAAAAACCCCACCAAACAACCTTCTGCACCAGCCCTGGATCCTTTCTCTGAGCTGATTTAACTTGTTGATGGAGCAAGAAGATGTCCTCTTTTTTCATGGAGCTATGGTCCTGCTGGATTAGAGGACATCTTGGGATCAGTAGATGTCTGTTAAGCACCAAAGCTGGACAAGAGCTTGAATTTTGCAGTAGGGAAAAGGAGATTAAGATCCTTCACCCCTTCAACCACAGAACATCAGGTTCTCAGATGAGAACTGAGACAGCAGAAGCATCGATGCGTGGTCTACACTGTCATTTTGAAACAGATTGGTTGGTTATGGAAGAAGAATAGAGGTCAACACCCAGAGATGGACAAGGTTTCTGCCCCCAACCTACTGCCCTGGGTGGGGGCAAGATGTTTCACAGCTTGAGGGTAACGTGCTGTGAGGGGAACATCACTCTGATGGTGTTGGTTGGACTCATAATGTATGTCTAGATGTAAAAAAAAAATCCCCTTTACCTTGTATTCCTGGACAGCATCTTGCACAGGAAGCATTGTGTGAGACCGATGAGTACGAGACTCCCGGCAGATCATACAGATGAAGGTTTCATCATCTTTGCAGAAGATCTTCAGAGGTTCTTGGTGCCTCTCACATCCTTCCTCCTCGATTATTTCCCCTCTGGCTGCTTGTAAACTCAACCTCTTGGCTATTTCCAGCACTCGTGCAAGTTCTCGACTGGGTCGAAAATTTCTCTCCGCTGCAGTTTCTCGACACTGAGGGCAGGAGAAATTAGTTGTGGACCATTCCCAACAACGGGTGATACACCCCCGGCAAAAATTGTGACCACAATGGATAGAGACAGGATCTTGGAAATATTCCAGGCAGATGGGACAAGAGGCTTCACTGGGGAGCGTTGTGTTGAAGCTTGGAGAAGCCATGGGGTCCTCAACGTGAGCTGTGAGATGGTGGCCACTTTCATTTTCCTCAGAGCAAGGGAAAGGCGTTTCCCTTCCTGTAACCCTCAAGGTGGGCAGAGCCAGAGCTGAACCTGGGTGGGAAGGCAGAGAACCAGCGATCTGTCCCCTCAAGGTGGTCCCCGTTCCCAAAACGATGTACCCACCATCGATATGGGTTTCCTGGTACTCACAACCTGGAGGGGAAGAAGGATGGAGAAAGGGAACCTCACCAAGTCTGAGGGTGAGACCTACATCCTGGAAAGGGGGTTGGGCATGGGAGCAAAGAGGATTTGAGGAGGGGGCTTGACATAGAAAAGATGGGCAAGAGCATCCATTGAAAACATGAAGATGACTTGGAAAGGAGGTTGAACATCACAGGGAGGGTGAAGGAGGAGGAATGAAGCCAGAAGTAGGGGCTGAGGAGCAACTATATGGAGTGGGAGAAGGGTCCCAGGGTGGGGAGAGGGTCTGGTCCTCCTCTTAGCAGGAGGTCGATGCTGCTGGTAGGTGTTGGGCCAGCATCAGCTCTGCTTTTGCAGCAACCAAGGTGTGGGGAAAAGCTGGGAAAGGAGGTCAGAAATGGGATCCCATCCACCTCCTGGGAATTCAGACACTTCCCACCTCACCTCTATGAAGTCCTTTCTCCTTCCAGCTTCAGGCATGAATCTCCTCCCATCTTCTGCATTGCAAATCAGGATCAAGTCCCAAATCTTGACTTCTCAGCATTTCTCCAGGTAATGAGAGACACCAGCACCTCAGGGATCCCATTTCCAACACAAAATGGGCTGGATACTCCAGCCAAGATCAACCTCAACCTCATCCTCTTGGGACGAGCACCACTTAGTCCTCACATCCCTGTGGGACAACGTTGTCTCCACCAAGGTGGGATTTTAAACCTCTTTAGAACTGGAACCATCCTTTTGAGCTGCTCCATTTGTAACTTTGACCATCATCATCATCCTGCTCCCTCCACTTTTGTCAGGCATCAACCAGGTTGCAAACAATTAATTCCTTTCTCCAAAAACCTGCTTTTTCAACCCAAAAAGTTCCCACATCTGGTTGATCCCCTGAAATTCAGATTTCCAGGGGAAAAAACATCCTTCTCCCTGGTCTTTATTTAGAATTGAACCTTGAAATTGTGGAGAAAAGAGGTGGGACCAAAAACAAAGGACACAAAGAAAGGAGAAAACTGAGGCAAGGGTGGTTTCTACCTGATGGTTAATTATGGTTGCCTCTAATTAATTCTGTAATTAAGCCAAATCCCATAAAAATCTTTAATTACTAATTTTTCCCCCACCATTTTCACAGAAGCATTGAGCAAATGTCTTCTTGTCCTTCAAAACAGAGCCTCCAGCTCCCTCTTGAGACCATACACATCCACACTCCTCAGCCAGGTCTCCCCCACACCCATGATGGGATCAAACACCCCCACAACATCCATATTTTCTTCATCCTGGAGCATCAAACCTCTGCTGAATTTTTTTTTAGGGGATAAAATTCTCTTAATAAGGACACCAGAGTAATGAATCATGATGGGATGGCTCATCAAAGTCCACAATCACATGTAGATGCTCCTCTAAGGTGGCTTCCAGACAAGGACTGAGCTTAAATAGAGCCCCTGGGCTGTGAGCAAGGGGGTGGGAGGTCCCAGGTGAGGCTTTTTAGGGTCCTTAATACTCATCAGTGCCTCCAGGTCTTGGCAAAATCAACTGACATTGTTGGGTTTGGAGAAGCTGAGATGGTTTTTTCCAGGCACATCAAGTTCTGCTTCAAGCTTAAAAGAGCAAAGCCACTGCAGGTGATGAGATGACTCTGGGAGATGACTCAAGTAGGTAATTGGGGAGGAAACATGGGTTTTGGTGCTTCAGCAGAGGTGATGATGCTGCCAGCACTCGTGGGACAGCAGGAGGAAGAATTATAGAATCATCAAATCATTAATGTTGGAAAAGACCTTTAAGATCATCAAGTCCAACTGTCAACACAACACCATCATCCCCACTAAACCATGTCAACATCTACTCATCTTTTAAAGACCTTCAGGATGGTGACTCAACCACTTCCAATGCTTCAGAACCCTTTCAGGGAAGATTTCTGTCCTAATATCCAATCTTGGTACAACTTGAGGTCATTTCCTCTTCTTCTAACACTTGTTACTTTGACAATGTCCTAAATATAAAATCCACCATCAAGCAGCTCCTCAGGGGTGTCCATCCCACCATCAATCTCTCTGTACTTCTCATTCCCCACTCAGTTAACCCTTAACTTTGAATTAACCCCCCCAAAAAAGCACCGTTGCCTTGAAGATGAAACCACAAGTTTCATTCTGACTGTCCATGTCCACCAGAAAATCACAACCCATGAAAATTACTGGCCAAAAAAAATAAGGGCGGATGTGTTATTTATTGATCTTCTCAGAAAATGTGTCATCTTCATCACCTCAATCTCAACCCAACCCAAATAAGTCCCATTTCCTTCCCCACACGATGGAGTTTGGATTATGAGTTGCCCTTCCACGTGCCACAGGTTGATGGTCCATGGGATTGAGTGATTTGAGGGTTTCTTGTCTAAAAAGAAGAAGAAGGACATTGCTGTCCCTCCAGTAGAGCCACAAAAGGATGGAGGGGAGGAGAGGAGGCCATTTTGGTGTGAAAAAACCTAATAAAATTTGAAAATTAAGAAAAAAAATCAATTTTAAAAGCTGAGGAACAGAAAAGCTGAGGCAGGTTCATGGGGTGGAAGCACATTCCTGCCAGGAGACACCCAACCGACCGTTCAAGGTCAGTGTAACTGGAGTGAAGTGACATTGTAAATCAAAAAGCAGCTGTGGGCGGGGAGATTTCCGTGGCTGGAAGGTGGTTTCCTGAAATCTCACCTTGTTTTACCCCAAAATGTGGTGACTGAAGGGGGTGAAGACAACTCTCCTGCAGCGTGGTAGGATCTTGGTTGAAGGAGAAGACATCTCTGAGCAAGCTGGAGTGAGAGGTACGGCTGGTTGTGGAGTTATTGGATTTCCAAAGTGGATAAAATTCCTTTCCCTTCCTTAAATATAAATGAATTTATTTTAGAGAGAGAAAAAAGAGAGAAAAAGAGAAAAAAGCCATTTTTTCAAGAGAAAAAATCAGATTAAAGTTAAAAAGTTGAGTTGTAATCGGCTGCTGCTCGACTCCAGGCTCAACCTTGAACTGTGAAAAAAAATCTACATCCTGTTTAAAAGGAGAAGTGAAAGCAGCAATAGATTGTTTTTTTATAGCCGGAAGTCCAGACGCAGAAATAAAGACACTTAAATTCTTCTCGTGTGAAAGGAGCAAAAAAAAGCTGAAACAAGCAGCAAAGGACGGGTCTTGGTGAAAGGAGATTTACTTTATTTTTATTTTATTTTATTTTATT